TATGGGAAAAAAGGAAGAGGCAAACGTATGACAGAGGCAGTAAAAGAAATTTTGAAAACCCTTTTTCATGCTGGTGATGAAGATAAAAGTGAGAGATATTCGGCAAAAGAAATGCTTCAAGATCTGCAACAAAGAGTATATACAGAAGAGTTAGAGGCTGACGAGATTCTATAACTCAAAACAATTGAAAACTGGATTGGTCAGTATTCATCTTTATACAAGAAAGAAGCAGTGAAAGAAGCTAAAGCTGCAGTTTCAAGCCAAAAAAATATCAAATAAAGCTTTTTTGTAGCTTATGCGTGTGATTTACCTACCTTTTTTTTGGCGATCTATTATTCTTTTGCTCATTTTTGACTCATAATCTCCAACCGGAATAAAAATAGCACAAAAACGACCAAGCAATAGTAATTTTGTTTTTTTGACAAAAGAATTACTAGTATTTTATTCGCAAATGTTGCATACATTTTTGTACTATATATAAAATAAAAATGGTAGCTTGTAATATTTGGAAATTGCGGGTTGAAATGAATATCATATTTAATTTCAAGTAATTTGCCCGATTTACATTATATAGATCCTTTCTATTTCTGGCGAATTACGAATTAATTATTTATTTAATTTATATTTTATATTTTAGCTCTTGATGGTTGGACTGTACTAACAGGTGCATCATTTTATAATTACATCATTACAACTCCTAATCATCGAGAACATCTGTTTCAAATTAAAGATTATTCAACTATATCACAAATGGAAAATTTTTTATTTGAGGAAATTAATAATGTTTTATATGAAATTGGAGCAGAAAAATTTTCTGCAATAGTTACAGATCATGGCTCTAATATAAGACGAGCAAGACAATTAGTTAATGAACAATTTAATTATATACTTGATATATGATGTGGTGCTTATATAATTAATTTAATAGCAGCAGACTTAGCCAAAATAGATGAAATTAAAAAGTTAATTCAACAATGTAGCACGATAGTAAATTTTTTTCATCATTCTTCACTGGCTAATAGATATTTAAAAAAAGGATTATCAATTATGAATATTGAAGGAGGGGAGCTTAAAACTTTATTGTAAAATACAGTGGAGATCTTTATATATAACTGTAAACTCTTTAATTCATACACAGCCAGCATTTGACTGGGTAATATTATAAAATTTTTTTTTTTAAAAAATAATTTAAATAATATATTAATTTAAAATTAATATATATATTTTATATATTTTAGATTATAAATAATCACGCAACTATGATCTCTAATAGAACAGTTTTTGATTTAATTCAAAATCATGAATTGTTTAATCAATGTTGCCAAATATTAGCAATATTAAAACCTATTAAAGATATGGTTAATCAATTAGAAAGTCATCATACAACTATTGCTAATTGTTATGTAGCATTAATTAAAATTGCAGCAGCTATAAATCGTCTTTCAAATGTTAATTTATTTAAACCTAAAGCAATAAAAATTTATAATTTATGGTTTAAAGAGTTTGCAATACCATTATATCGGCTTGCATACTATTTACATCTATTGTATCGAGATAATTAATTAATATATATTAATATTATAAAATTTGAATACTTAAATTGTATAATCACATGATTTATTAATATTATATTAATATTTAGAATTTATTTAAAATTAACCAGTGGTGAAATTTACTGGCATAAGAATTTTAGGGTTAGAGTGCGGTTTTAGGTTTTTTTTATATATATATATATAATGTAGAGTAGATATAAGGTACCGATTTAAGTTCTTATAAAGTTTTCAGGGGTCCTGAACATTTTTACTTAGCCTACCTGACCCCTGTTTCATAGTGCAGTTTTCAAGATATAGCACCCTGGTGAATTTCACCTCCGGTGAGTGTTAAAATACTTCTAATATTTAATAATAATTTAATAATTTACATATAAATATATTAGGTGTTAGACTAAAGCGAGGTCAATTCTATAAACTTTGTGAAATTGCAGCTACAATGTGGCAAGAATTAGGTTACGATGAAGCAATATGTAAGGATCTACTAATGGAACTTCATGCCTATCATCAAAAGGAAAAACCTTATACTCAAATATTTAAAAAAGAAAAAGAATTACCATTAATATGGTGGTTAAATATTAATGCATCAAAAGATTTATTATCTGAACTGGCCATCAAAATCTTTTCTATTCCACCCTTACAGGCTGTATGCGAGAGAAATTTCTCAACTTTAAAATAGATATTTGGAGATCACAGAACATGCTTTAATATTTTTTGTTTAGAGGCAATAGCAAAACTTCAGACATTTTGCTATATTAACATTAAAAATGAATTAAACTTCTACGATGAAGAATTGTTGGAGTGTGATCTTAGAGATAATATAAATGGATTAACAATTAATTCTAGTCAATTAGAATTCGAACAATCTGATGAATTATTTAATTCTTTTAAACCTATTTCTGGATCTTATAATAATAATATGCAATCAAATGATATGGATAATACTAATTTGTTAATTAAGGAAATAATTGACCTTACAAATCCAGCTTTCGTTGGCAATAATAATTCATTTATTAGAAGTCAAGATATGGTATTAAACCATAATACTTAACAAGCAGGTTTAGAAAACCTTAATTACAATTCAGCAAACTTAGTAGCTTGAATTCTTAATAAAGAAAGTAACGAATAATAAATATATATAGTAGAAAATTGTATTTTTATATAGTAAATATGTATGAACATATATTATGTTAATAATATTTTCAAATAAAAATCTGTTGTGCATATAAAAAATATATTTGTCTATTATATTTAACAAGTTGCGGCAA